CCTCCCCCCCGCCGCCGCTTCACCCTTTGGGGGGATTTGTTGTTGCTGCGGTCGCTTTTTGAGTGGGGGGAAATTGGGATTTGGAGGGAGGAGGAGGATGGGGATGCGGGAACGGGGGGGGCGCGGAGCTGCGGAGCTGCGGGGCCGCGGGGTGCGGGCGGTGGGGCCGGGGCTGCGGGGCCGAGGCGGTTCCAGGGCGTTCCGGGGGGTTCCAGGGAGCTCCGGGGGGGCTTCGGGGATCTCCAGGGGCTGGGGGGGGTCGCGAAGGGGGAGACGGGGGGCTGGGAACACGGTGACAACATGGAGGCGGCCAGTGCGCGGGTGTCGGGGGCCACTGGGGATGGGGGGGATGGCGGGGACAGGGGAGGCTGAGGGGGGTGATGGGGGCAGAGGGGTGCGGGGGGGGCTGGGGTTGGGGACCCCCATGCGGGCGGGGGCCCAGGAAGTGACGTCAGGGCCCCGGAGCGGCGGGGATGGGGGATGAAGGATGGAGGATGAGCGTTGTCATGGAGATCCCGGCTGGACCGGGATGGGGGGGCAGGAATGGGGTGGAGGGACGGGGTGGGGGGGCGCTGGTGGCTCCTGCCCGGGTGCGGTGACACCCCCGGGACCCCGCTGAGGGGCTGCTGGTGCTGGGAGTGCTGGAGGCTGGCCGGGCCTGGGGGGATGTGGGAGGTACCAGGGCCTGGGCAACCTTGCAGGGACCCCCAGGGCCTCGTGTTGGGGTCTGGGGACCTCAGGGCTCCTCACCGTGGCACGGAGCACCTCCAGACCCCACTGTCACGATATGGGGGCCCAATGGATCTCCTTGCCGTGGCGTGGGGCATTAAAAGATCCCGTTGTCACGACATGGAGACCCTCTGGATCTGCACCAGGATGCCTCCAGCCCTCACTGCTGTGCCCTGAGGCACCTCCAGACCTCACTGCCACCATGAGACACCCTCCACCTGCTGTCACGGGGACCCGCTCAGGCAGCTGAGACCCCCAGACCCCCCAGACTGGGTGATCCCCCCCAGGCAAACACCTGCCCCATCCCGCCCGGTCCTGCCGGGCTCGGCTCCGAGTCCTCGGCGTCGCTGTGCCCCGAGCACGAGCGCAGGGCGGAAGGGGAAACCATCACCGCCCGCGCACGGCCGGGGAGGAAGGGGGCCTTTGTTCGCCCTTCCTGGCCACTCGCACAGCGGGGAGCAGCGGCCGCCCCTCAGGGTCCCTGGGGACGGGGGGTCACCGAGCCACAGCCCAGCACGACGCCCTCTTCCCACTGCCGGGAGCAGGAGCCGACAGCTGGAAAAGCGCTTTGCTCTGGTGCTGAGCCCTCCTGTGTGCTGGAAAAGCGCTTTGCTCTGGTGCTGAGTCCTCCTGTGTGCTGGAAAAGCGCTTTGCTCTGGTGCTGAGCCCTCCTGTGTGCTGGAAAAGCGCTTTGCTCTGGTGCTGAGCCCTCCTGTGTGCCAGGGGCCGGGCGGGTGCGGGGTGCGCGGCCCCTCCCAGCTGCCACCCCCATCCCCTCGCCAGGTTCTCAGTGAAAACCCTTCTGGAGAAGTACACGGCCGACCCCATCGATGACTCCTCCGAGGAGTTCGTTAACTTCGCTGCCATCCTCGAGCAGATCCTCAGCCACCGCTTCAAAGGTAATGCTGGCCCCCAGGACCGTCCCTGTCCCCGAGTCCCGTGGTGGATGGGACCAGGATGGGCCAGGATGGGCCAGGATGGGCCAGGATGGGCCAGGATGGTGTCCTGCTCTGCTGGGGGGGCTTTGCTGGCCCAGCAGCCCCTGAGCGCAGCCCGTGGGCGCCCGCAGGCCCCGTCAGCTGGTTCAGCTCTGATGGGCAGCGCGGCTTTTGGGATTACATCCGCCTGGCCTGCAGCAAGGTCCCCAACAACTGTGTCAGCAGCATCGAGAACATGGAGAACATCAGCACCTCCAGGGCCAAGGTCAGGAAGGCACCAGTCCTGTCTGTCCCTGTCCTTGTCCCCATCCCCATTTCTGTCTGCCCATTTCCATTCACTCCACCCTGACCGTGGTACGTGGACTCATCTACATTCCCATCATATCCCATCCCATGGATCCCATCCCATGGATCCCATCCCATCCCATGGATCCCATCCCATCCCATCCCATCCCATCCCATCCCATCCCCACCCCTCTGTGCCCCCACCTTGCTCCCTTCCCCTGCCCCCCTGCAGCTCCATCCCACATCACAGGGCCCCATGGGACACCAGCTGTGGGTCCCTGTGGAGAAATGGGCTGGAAGCCGCTCCTGGGGACCTCCAGCTGCTGGTGTCCAGAGCGCTGGGGGTGGGTGGGAGGGTGGGGGGCAGATGTGGGGGCACCCCGAGGCAGCCCCATGCTCAGGACTGAGGCCTTGCAGGGCCGGGCCTGGATCCGTGTGGCGCTGATGGAGAAGCGAATGTCCGAGTACATCTCCACGGCCCTGCGGGACACTCGGACCACCAGGTGAGCAGCCCCTGGCCCTGCCGGCCCTGGCCACACCTGCACCGGGGCTGTGTGGGGTGCCAGGGTGGGTTTTGGGGTGCCAGGGTGGGTTTTTGGGGTGCCAGGATGGGTTTTGGGGTGCCAGGGTGGTTTTTGGGGTGCCAGGGTGGGTTTTGGGGGCCCGGGTGGGTTTTTGGGGTGCCAGGGCGGGTTTTGGGG